GTTTTACTCCGGTTTTTTTATTTTTGAGAAAATTTCCTCGCTGGGAGTTAGAACCATCAGCAAATATTTCTCAGTCGGCTGGATTTTGCTTAATGTTATTAATTATTGCCGTTCTAATCTCCACATAATTTTCTCAATAGGAGTCAAAACTTCAATTCCCTGTTAAATCTATTTCCTGACCCGCTTTGGTTTTTATTTTGTATTGGCCATGCTTTTTGGCTTCTCCGCTATCATAATACTCCCCCCAAGTTCAATATTTTTCGACTGCTTCGGAATTGGCAAAGTTTCCTATTGGGTCCAAACATATTTTATCCAAATTAGCAAGCACTTTTTCTTTTCAAATAGTAGAATTCATGGAAAGATTATGGAATAATCGCTCTTTAAACTATTTTAGAGAAAAAAATGAGTTTTATTTGATTGAAATTGAATGTTATAATTTTATAAAATACTTTTAGCAGGCTTTAAAATGCCCTTACTGTTTTTTTTTAGCACTCAAAAAAAACCACCACAAAATTAAAATTCCACATCCAATTATTAATAATAATTTAGGTTGCTGAAAAAAAGGCTTATCATTTTTTTTGTTAACAGGGTCATTCTTATCCTCACTTTTTTTACCTGGCTGGTCTCCTTTTTGCGGTCAGTAATGAAAATTATCATGTTCATTAATAATGGAATTTTTTATTTGTTGAAAAACTTTTTCTCCTTCTTTCGCACTACTATGGAGATTAATTTCTGGGATGGTTGGGGCGGGCGATTGAGAACGGGCTCAAACCTCACCTCAGGCTTCGGCCAGTTTTTCGGGGTCAACCACCAAGTCTCGGTTGGCAGCCTCATAATTAATTTTTTCTCCCCGTCCAGACAGTATTTCGTGTATTCCAAACAAGTAATTTTTTAGTAAATTAGGAGTTTTATTAGCCTCCAATCTCACGGCATCAATCCACTGGTAAAATTTAGTTTTTAATTCTTCCTGAATAATCGGGTCAGTTGGCACATCCTCCTCGAACATGTAAAGTATCAGAGAAAGATAATTACTGACTTCTGTTTCGGTTTTCTCGGCGAGGTCTTTTCTTTTAATCGGGTTATTTTTAACTTGCTTTCTTTGTTCTCAATCCGGAAACTCCTTTTTGTAAATTATTTCGATATATTTTTCTAGTCAATAAATAACCCGGGTAAATTCTCGGTTGATATTAATCTCGTGGTTAGTCATAATACTACAATTTTAAATCCTCCTTGCTAATTTTTCGTAATTCAGTGGCTGGTATTTTACTGGTTATCAAGTTGCCAATACTCCAAAGTTTTTGGCAAAATCTTCAACTACCAATCACTTTATCCTCATTGTAAATTAAATCTGAACCTCAAACATTATTCTCCAACAAAAAAAGACGTAAACTATCGCAGCCATATTTAGTAATAAGTTCTTCCGGATCAACTCCATTTCCTAATGATTTAGACATTTTTTTGCCATATTTATCCCTAATTAGACCATGTAATAATACTTGTTGAAAAGGCACTTTACCCGCGAAATATGTTCCTAGTAGTATCATTTTTAAAACTCAAAAAAAAAGAATGTCATAGCCAGTAATAAGAGTAGTTATTGGATAACATTTTGGTGGTGGAGAAGGAAATTTTTCTCCTTCCTCAGCAAGTGCAATTAGCGGTCATAATCCGCTAGAAAATCAAGT